TTCGATACAGTAATGTTCAGATCCATGCATCATACAGTTTATCTAACATTTGCTGCAAATCATTCTGGTTCTCAGCCACCAACATGGCATTGTCTCCATACGGAAGTATATGCACATTGATGTCCCAGACCAACACAGTTTAAACATTCTAATTAACTCCATTATCTCTTCCACTGAAGGGTCTTTTTTTTCACTCTTCTTAAATATTTTGCTAGTTTTATCCTATCCATCAATATTGTGCTGCCTTCGGAAAAGTCTGTGTATTCTGCATCTCTCTCCCCTACCGACTTCTGGGAGGCTTTGCATTCTTGAATACTGACCCAAAGGACACTTAAAACACTACTGTCACGAATATTACTATTTGAGACTATAGCAGCATTGGCCAAAGGAATTTCCTACTCTGAAAAAGATTGGCAGCATCCTTTCTTTCCATTAATTTGAGAGAGGTCAGAATTTGAAAGCATAAGCCCTGCTGAATGTACACTTCTACTGTAGCTACCACTAAATCTGTTCTACCTTGCTTACTTTTCCCCATACTTCAAATAAACATCTTTTTGTGCCCTTCAGTTCATGATCTTTTGAGACTCCAAAACTCCCGTTACATTCCATCAGATGGTACTATATGGTAATATATCTATAGAAGCCACTTATTTGCAGCCTATCATTCCAACCCTCTACATCCTGTCATCATAGTCTCACTTTCTTTATAAATGTATTCATCTTCCTATCTGTATCTTCTCCTTTCCATAATTAGATGCTCACAAACACAACCTATGTACTTTAAATGTTGCTTGCCTATTAGCATTTGTTTCACATACACTTGTGAAAATGTCTGGATATTTGGAATTTCCCTTGACTGTGTAAAAACCGGTTCTCTCTAAACATGTTAAACAAATGTTTTCAACTTTCTATGTCCAAGTTCTAATAAACAATTCAAAATCCTCATTAGTGGTATTTTCATTCTGTTATTACTATGGTGCCTTTTTTGGGAGACTGAGGTGTTAAAAGGTCCCCTACATCAAAATCAGGGTAAGTAACTTAAGATCACAGGGCTGTACATTATCCTTTTTTGCAGTCCCCAAAGTACCCCCGACCCACGATTGCTGAAAATGAGTGGCATGGCTTCCTGCCACTTTTGAAGTCCCCCCAAGGGGTCCATTTATACTGGAGACCAGGACACCATTACATTGAAGCAAACTGGTTTTATTGACTAATTTTGATTGCCAAAGGCCCAGTGGCAAGGCCTAGAGAAGGGTGGGGTTACAGACCCTCTTATAGGTGTATGCCAATTAATTCCCCCATTTGATTGGCTACATTCTAATTACATTATGCCACCCACAACATTATTGTTTCTTATCATTATACTTTGATAAAATTACCTATATTGATGAATTTGGTTAATGCATATTTTAACTTTAAACAGAGGGTGCAGGTTAAACGAGATCACCATTTCCTATACAATAGAAGCCTTTACTTAAACTATAAGCCTTTATTTTACATTGGTTAGCTTCCCTAGCCTCTAACTAGAAAACCTTTATTCCCAGTGCCAGCTGCTAACAATTCATAGTATATTCCCAACAGCTTTCTTGCATTTCTGTGGTTAACACTTTCACTTATCTTGTTAGCGCCTTGTTACTTTAAGTGCTGCCAGGAATTCCATGCTCCCACCCACATTTTCCAGTTCTAGGAATGGCCTATTATCTTACTGATTCTACTCTAAAGGTTGTTTCACGGTTAGTATTATTCTACTTCATGAGAAACCCATGAGAACACTCATATAAGCTTTCTCAGCCTACATTTTTTTACGACTTGACCAGAGGCTGCTTCAATGCCCTCCCATCAGAAGCTCTAGAGGGAAGATTGAATAATATCCCAGCCATGCAGAGACTCTGCCATTATGGATCTGGGAGGACGGAGTGATTAAACATGTGATTTTGAGGTGTAGATGTTATACTGACTTCTATTTAAGGTTATTACAGCCCTGACTAACAAAAGACGCGTAGCCATCCCCCCCCCCTTTTTCCTTTAACGCTTCTTGCTTTTTTGTAGATTAAAAACCTGAAAGTGACATATGCACTCCCCAATTTCTGCCTTTTAGCTTCAAGGACTGAGCACATTATGTTACCTTCAGCAGGATTGGATTAATGTTTATCATCCCTGTAGTACAGTCACGTGCACTCTTTTTTGGTTATATTTTATTAAGACATTGCTGGTCAAAAGCCCTATAAAAGTTTATTTGTATTTATCATGTAAACTCTAAACTGGAGGTGTCCTACTTCAAGAACAAACCCTTAAAACTACTCTGAAAAACCTAAAGGACACCAGAAAATCCCAACCCTTCATCATGGGCATCAAATAGTCCTAACAACTTTGCACTGCTGCCTTGCCTGGTGAAGTCTTCATCCTTCAAACCCAGCCACTAAAATTATGCTTTCTTTGATCTAAGGGATTACATGTGTATTACAATACACATGATTAAATGCCATGATTTAATTTAGACTAACTTCCTGTTAAGTTGGCACTGTCGATACACTCTGACACTCCATGCATTTTTATTATCCTGAAAACTCTTTTATTGTTCCTACTTGAACCAGAAAGAAGTTATTATCTCCTGTTTTACCATCAGACACGATCTTTTGTTGATTGCTTAGATAGCATCCAACAATGAGCTGCCACCACCTTTCTTCCCAGCCAAAGCCAACAGCCACAGTGACTAAGAAAGATGACCTATCCTTATAGAGAGGAAAGGGCATAGAAAGATTAAATTTACTGTTAACTCAATCTGGAAGCAGCTGAAAACTGAATTTTTCAGAGGGAAGCTCATGGGAGGTCTATTGCTACATCTATAATTGATATAGCTTTAACTCAGAATCTATTTTGTTGATTCAGTTTATGCATGGCAGAAATTTCAGAACAAGAGGAAAACGGATCAGCCTTTAATTTACTAACTTAAATCTCCACTGAAATCTTGTTGGAGGACTGAAAATTGCAATAATCGTTATTGGGCTTACTATCTCGGCCAAGCAGTTTTTGGTGTTTTGTTTTATGTACATCTCCTTGACTAATAAGAAAAGTTGATAAATGTAACCCCTTTTGTGGATTAGCCTTTTTCCTCTTATTCTCATTTTTCCTGAGTTAAGATAAACTAATGTGCTGAACACCTCACTTCCCTTTAATTTGTCCTCTTCATACAGAAGGAAGACAAATTAAAAGGAAGTAAAACTAATTTACAGTGGGGTGAGTTTCCTTTGAACATAATAGTGAAAGAGACTAGGAGAGGGTTTCCTTATTTTCTTAAACACAAGAAGAAATCCTCCCACATATTCTCGTGCCAAGAGTTCTCTTTGTTCTAGAAATTATCAGACGGCCATGCATGGTTTGTTTGCTGCCTGGGTTTTAACAGATATGGACACAGTAGTCACTTTTTGATGCAGGAAGTGACAACTGATGTCTGTCTCTTTAACTTAAAAAAGCTATTGGTTGATAACTTACAAAAACGTTACTCATCACATGCAACAATAGAGGTAGTTCTTTTGCAAGGAAGAAGAAACAACAGAAATCCCTTTACGAAGGATATTTTATGAAGGACATCTTTTTAAAAAACCTAAGAAGAGGCAGAGATTCATTGGCCATTTTTTTTAAAACTTAAGGGAACTGATCCTACCCTTCCTGTTGCAAAGAAATCTTTTGGCTTGGAAAAGAGGCAGAAAATATATTTCCCTTTTTCACTGGAATAAAGAATTTATAGGAAACAGAATTTGGCCCAAGGGAAATGTATCAAGAATACAATTGAGAAGCAAATATAAAAGGAAAAACTTGTACCATAACACAAAATAAAAACTGATTTTTCAATGAAATCAGGAAAATTATGTATCTGGATACTCACCTCTCTTTAATTACAGCATTGTTCCTTAAGATTTCCATCTCATTATCTAGCATTTTGACTTTATCTTTAATTTCATTTGTTTTCTGGCGAGCACAATGTACGAGGTTCACCAATTTGTTTCTCTCATGTCGTACAATGTCATACAGTTTAGCAAACTCTTTCATCCTGAAACCCCAAAAAAATATTTTAAGGAAGACATTGATGCATCAACTTCTTTTTTTTAATGTTATGTCAACAAATCCATTATAATAGTTTTCTTACTGTCTCTGAATTTCTTTCTGTTTCTTTGTATATTCTCTAATTTCAAAGTCTTTTGTTTTTATTTCTGCAATAATGTTATTCAGACGCGCCTGCAAATAAAAACAGGAGTGGCTATTTGGGGAGCTGTCAGAACTGCCAGGACATTTCTAAAATTCAGACAGGCAAAAATTACTCAGAGTGTGGTTCTCCATTTCAGAAACAGAATACAGTATTCTTAGAAACAAAAGTGGAGCTGCTTGACTGTCAGCAGAGCATGGCTAGAGATCAACTGGAGATCAGATGCTTTTGCATTTTGCACTGCTGAGACAGGAAGGCAAATATAACACAGAAGACTTTAAATCAATGGATGTAGGCAAAACATGTCTGTAAGCATAATTCCTCTTTAATCAGATAATTTGCATGCCAGAGTGATCATCCCCACTCACATAGTTGAGAGAGGTTTGGTCTCTCTATTCTCATCTCAAAAGAAATGATGGACTGGCAAGGCTAATAGTAGGGGTGTCTGGAAGGTGGGGGGTGTCAAACAAAAGGGTGCTTCTTACAATATGATCAAACTCCATCCCTTTGTAGGTGGGTCAACCTCAATGTGCACATACAAAAGGGATGGGGCTTTGACTACATGGCTGCAACCACCATCTTGCCTTTTTTGACTCCCCCCCTCCCCCAGATCTCTTAATAGTGTGGACTTTCCATTTGGTACTTCATGGGTGGAAAACACAGTTAACTGCAGGCCATTACCTCTAGTGCTAAGCAATTTAGCAAGGGAAGGGTATTAATGCTTAAGGTTTCCCATATCATACTATTGAATCAATAGATAGACTCTCTTTTATATGTATTTAGGACAAACAGGCAGAAGACAAGCAGAACATATCCATGAGTACCAACTAACAATACTACATCAGTGGTGTGGGGGGTGTCAAAAAAGTCAAGATGGTGTTCATGACCACACTATCAAAACCCCAATCCTTTTTTACAAGGGTCATCTATGTATGTTGAGTTTTTCAACCCTCTATGTGGACACTCTACCATTACTTCACTAATCTCTCTCCACACAGACAACTAAGAGTTATCTTCAACTGGGAAATGGTAGGAATTGTAGAACAAGACAGATTTAAGCCCCCCGCTTCCCCATGTTTCTGTTCCCATCAGAAACAACTTTGATTTCCAAGACTTTTTTTTTATTTCCAAGACTTTTTTTGTCACAAAAAGTAAGCTTTCTTAATTAGTGCCATAAGCATTCACAGAAAAATCAACTTACCAAGCATCACACTGCAGTCCTACTTCTTGTGATTTTCCATGGCATGTGAATGCAGTAGAGGAAGAAGCACAATATTACAAGTAAGTATAGACTTGCCAGTAGTCTGAATTTGAAATAGGCTTGTGCCATTTGTTCAATTATGAAAATATATAGGCAAGAAATTATGAATGAGACAAAAGTTTACACTGCAGATCCTCGAAAAGTCCAGGTAAATATCTAATGGACCAAGCTAGATACTCACTGGATTCTTCTTACCTGGGCTTTCAGGAAATCCTTAGACTTTTGTTCCCTCTCATCAGCCTTAAGCTGCGTCATACGTATCAAGTTGTTGACTTCTTCCCTGTAATGCTCCTGAGCCCGAAAGAGTTGGTCTTCTTCAGCAACACACTGCTCGAGCATTCGCACTTCAGTATCTGTTGATGTTTTCTAGGTTGAAAATATCAGAGGAAAATCCAAGAATTGGATATGTTAATAAATATCTCTACAGCCAAGGAACTACATCTAAACAATACACCAGAGAAAGGCACGGATTTTAGAGTTCATAGGAATTTACAACTGTACACATAAATCTATCAGAGGGGAAAGAATATTTTGACTACTCTTTTCATTTAGATGTGCTATTTAAATATTTTAACAAGCTACTTAGTTACTCTTATTTTCTGTGTATTTGTAATTCCTCCTTGTTTATGTAACTGTGTTTTATAATAATAAAATGTAGTACTGAGGCTGGGATAAAAAGTGTAAGAGGCATTTTGACTTTTTGGATAGGGGGAATGGAGAGCTATGATACAGTGAGGTGCAGTGTTCCATAAAGGCTATCTTTCGTAATGCTGATGGCCCAAACATGTTATTCATTAGATTTACACCCTAAGGCAGCACTATATATAGCACCCCCTCCTCCCACTGTATTCGCATAACAGCAATACCATAAGCTGAGCTGAGAGTGACCAATCCAAATTCATCCAGGGAGTTTCCAAGGCTGAAGGTGAATTAAAACATGGGTCTCCCCACTCCTAGTCCAATGCTTTTATCACTACACTAGCACTCAGTGCCCAAAGTGCTATGCAGAATAGAAATATGAGATCTGCAGGCCCAGAGACTTCCCATCTATACCATGGGATTAAGCAATTGGGGGAGGAAGAGAATTCAGGGATTTCGAGATGAATGAAAGGGATGAAACTGAGAGAAAAAAGAGGCAGACGAAATGATTTGATGGAAATCCATGGCTGAAAAGTAGGCCTTGAGGAAAGGAGGCCTGGAAACCTGCCAAATGTGGTGTCCCCCTCCAGCTTTCTTCACTGCCAGAAAGTACAGCAAACATTGAGAACGGCCTGGCAGATATGGGAGAGAAGAACAAGAAGGTTTGGCAATGGATGAACCTCTAAAGACACAAAGGAACAGGGAAGTGCATACAAAGAGGCTATGCAGTGAGTGGAAAAGGGATAAGAAACATTATTTGAAATATTTCTATCTACATCCTACATGTCCTAAGGACCTTGAAACCACTTCCATAATTCTCCTTCCCTTGAATTTTCCATGCAACCAGCTTGGGTAAATATATACACCATTTCCTCACTCTGCCCTGTTTGCATGGCTAGAGAAGGAAGGGAACAGACAAGGGTTTGCAAGGAAGAATGCAAGGGTTAGGGTTTGACAGGTGGACCTTCAGGATTATGGGTTCTAGGATGTGTTGAATATTGAATAATGTCTACATTTAATGCTGGCCTATAGTAAATCAATAAAAATATTATTTATAAGTGAAATTCCTCTAGGAGTCACTGCAGAAAAGGAACACTGAGCAACTAATTTTTGCTCCCTTTTGCAGGAACAGTACCCATTCCCCCAGGGAGAGGCAGAAGGGCAATGACGACATGTATGTAGGGATGCAATCATGCCAGTGCTGTGACTGACATCCTTGTATTGCTTTTAGAGAATTTTGGTTTTTCCCTAAGGGAAGCCCAGAAAATCATTCTCAATCTCTGCAAAACTTTTCAAAACACCTTGCAGCAGCTTAAATAATTGCCCTTGTTCAAGGAGGCAGGTGTCACCATTCCACTGGATCAGTGAATGAAATATGGAGATGACGTGTTTGCTAAAATTCATTAAGTACTATACTGTCTTGGCCTGATTTTTCTGAATAACTTATGCTGGAAAGTCTAGTAGATAAGTGAATTCTGCTCCCAGGCTAATAATGCAGAAGTTATAAAGCCCTCAGCTTGCTATGTTTGATGGATTGGGAATAAATTGAGAGTAACACTAAAATTGTAGGCTTAGTGCAAGTTGCAGGTGGGTTCCTCTTTTCAGCTGAAATAAACTTAATTTATCCAATCTACTCCTTACGTTAGGTTTTAGAAACTGATATAAACCCATTCTCACTAGGCAGCTGCAAAAAAGGACTGATCCTGCCAGAATTACAGGGCGGGGAGCACAATAATGACACTAGATGTTTGCAGTGATCGTAGAATTGGTAAGCCATGATCTCAGCTCCATCTATATTATCATGATTTTAATTTGGTTTTAATCTGGTTTTAAAAGGGGCTAGTGTTTTTATTGATATTTGTATTTTATTGTTTTTTTTGCTTGGTTGTTTCCTTATGTGAGCTGCCCAAATGTGAGACAGGCAGCTATACAAATTGAATAAATAAATAAATGTTATCTGATGAATAGCATGAATATGTGAAACTGGTTTTCCTGGGGATCATTTTTGAAATGAAACATTTCTGCTTTCCTGGGAATCATTTTTTAAAAGAAATAACATTTCTGTTCTTCAGGATCTCAGTGAACACATATGGATAGAAGCATGACATGAAAAGTTTGGCATGTTAGGCAAATGGCATGTTTCCACTGCGGAATGAATCCTAGTTTTAAAAATACCAAATGAAGAACAGCTGTCCTATTACCTCTTGAGACAAATTTCTCTTCGCCATTTCAACTTCTCTCTGGAGCTCCCTTCGCCTTTCTAATAATGTCCCATCATCTTTAGGGACAGCATCTAACTGTACAAGGCAAAAACAAAGTTATGTACAGAAAAGGAAAGTCCATTATTTTAATATAACCAATGCCATGTTTAAGCACGAGCTGAATCTTAAAAAAACAGAAACCAGCAATGTAAGCTTCTTCTTCAGTCAATAGTTCTGAATTTGCCAAGTTTGACAAAGAGCAGTGAGGGTTGATTTAAACATTGCAGGATAAAACCTGAAACTATATACTCTGAATAAGTTTAATTGGTTTCTCTACGTCATTACTATTATTTCCATGCTCCGCTCTGATTCATGGTTGTCACGGAAGTGTGTGTGATCTCCCATGTGTCATGATGTCATACAAATGACAAAAATTATACATGTCAATTGTGTCATGTGACTGATGCAAACCACATAATTGGGGTAATTTGCACAATGTCATGAT